ACGCATAGTGTATTCAACGTGTTCGCTACCGCGAACCTGGACAGTGGTCACGGTTTCGCGTGTGTACTCGATGGCGAGTGGCAGGGAGTGAGGAACGTGATTCTCATCTTCCTGCACATAGGCAGGGTAAAGAGTGTTGACGACGTGGCGAGCAGCTGCGATGAGATATCCGAACATGGTGGTGCAGGTTGAACGAATAATTTTTCTGACTTTGTGCTTCCCTCAGCGCAGCTCTCACGCATGTCTTGTCTCGTGGGAAATTCCAAAGCTGAAGTCAGGCACGTGCGCAACAACATGTTTCTGCACCTTTTGCAAAAAGGGTGCGGGACACCGTCATCAATGCTCTCACCAGCGGCATCAACACCAGTGTCAGGCTCAGGCAGCAGGTAAGCGCTCCTTCCATCCTCAACACTTTGTCAACGCCGGCTGCATGGTCTACTGATTTTCATCACCGATAGAAGGTGTGCGTCCCTCCAAGAAGCTCGCGAAACGAAACCGGCAGAAAAGAAACGGTTAATGTGCAGGACCGGCAGTTGTCAGCATTGAGCGAGCTGGCCGCACCACATCTCACAACCGTCTTTGTCTGCAACACTCAGCTTGTAGCGGGTTCCACCTTGACAAACACAGCCACCGCACAATTTATGGGCCCATCTTTGACAAGGGCAGGAGAAGCTCAGCGCTGGGGAGACCAACATCGCTTCTTGCTGGGCGGCGTAGGCAGGGGATGGGGCCAGGGCATTGTCCTGGCCGATGATCGTGCTGTTGAGGTATGTGCATTGTCCACAACGGTGGTGCCTTGTCACTCATACCCTCCACATACGCCGCAGCCGCCCAAACAGGCCATGATGCATGCTTGGGTGTGGCCGTGTGGCCTTGTCAATGTGCTGATCCATGTGCTTTGTATGCTACCGTCGTTTTGATAAGCAAGCTTGCCCATGTCTACATTGCATTATTATCGCAGATGGTGCCACACACCCGGAAGGTCTTCCCTTCTCTGAGCCGGTAGGTCCTCATCTTTCGCCAGCTCCCTCCTCCCGTACTCTCGTCCAGCCTTCCCCTGATGGCGCCGAGGTCTAAACACGGCCTTAAGCGCAAGCTGCCATCGTATGAGAAAGACCCTGGTTTTCTTGAAGGTCATAGGCAAATTGAGCCACTGACACCGGCCTTCAAGCGAACCTTTGCCAGCTCGGATGGTCGACCTAATACCATAGAAGGCCCGGTCTACACCCAGTCCCCACCTCAAGCTCTTGGTGCATGCAGCACAACATCTTTTATCGAGGGGCGCAAGCCCGATGATCAGCTGAACGAAGCTCTGAAAGGGGCTCCGTCGCTTCATCTGCAGGTGAGCAGCCAGTCGTCGCTTTACCGCTTGTTGCCCAACATCACTGCAGGGAGCCTCAGCATTGATGTAAAAATTTCAGGCAATCCTTCCCCAACTCATGGATCTACTCTTCGAGCATGAGTCAAACGGCTGCATATTGTCGCCATGCTGATGCAACTGCCCAGGCGCGGTAGCTAACACTCAATGCTGTGACTGCTTCCAATACCCAATGTCCTGCAACCAATGCTTTGAGGCCGATCATCAACAAAGTCCCTTTCACTGGTGCAAGAGCTGGAACGGTAGATTCTTTGAGAGAATATATTCCCCGGGAGATCGGCCCATCCTTGACCTTGAACACCCAACAGGAACCGATGGCATTGCGTCCGGGAGGCAGCTGGACCAACTCCCAGGTCCCATTGATGATGTGGGCCTCAATCTCCTCCATGGTGGCCTTGTACCAGAGATCCGAGTCAGGATGCTTCATGGCCCCGCGGAAAGACCTAGGCTCGTTGCCCTGCACCTCAGCCTTCAGTGCACAAGTCTGGAAGGCGGCCTTGATGCTCTGAGGGAAGGAGAGGTCGTCTGGCAACAAAGGAGCGGTGTAGACGGTGTCGAGACCAGCTAGCACCAGCATGGTGTCTTCCGGCTCAGCAGCAGCCAGGGGATCCTCGGAGGAGGTGTCGTCCTTGTCCTCACTGCTCTCAACGGCCGGAGTGGGCTCCTAGTAGGCCTGAGGGGCCGGAGAGCGAGAGGGAACGATCCACCAAGGCTGCACGGGCTTGGGTGCACAGCGCTCGCGTATGAGGGCCAGAGGAGGAGTCGGAGGGCATTCAGGAGGTGTAGGAGGGCACTCCTGGTCCGGTGACCGTGCTGCAGAGTGAGGGACAGGCGATGGGGAGGCCTCAGGCGAGGCAGAACCAGTGAGAGGTGAGGACAAAGCCCAAGGAGATGGCGGAGGTGTCTCGACTCTGGGAGGAGCAACAGGCGGCACATGGGGCGGTTCCAGATCTCCCCCCAGTTCAGAGATGTCCTGGGCATCCTGAAGTGGTGGTGGTGCCATATCTCCCCCCGGAACCAGTGCAGGTGCGTCAGGAGGAGAGTAAGGAGCACCGTACAGCAAAGGTAGGGTGTGAAGGAGGAAGTGGGAGGCAGCAGAGTCCCAGCTGGCGGTAGAACACACTTCGGGGAAGTACTGCTCATTGAAAATAGCAGTGGTAGAGATTATTTGCTTGCGGGTGTCTAGGTTGTAGAAGAGCCAGGCCTTGTAGTCCTCTGCGTAGCCGACAAAGATGCACTTCTCAGAGTGGGAGGAGAGGCCGCGGCACTTGTCCTTTTGGATGTTAACGTAGGCAACGCACCTGAAGACCCGCAGGCATTCCACAGAGGGCTTGATCCCGTACTAGCCAAAGTAGGGTGTTGCACCCTTGGGCAGGGCAGCGGAGGGTGTCCTGTTGTGCACGTAGACGTAGGCAGCGACGGCGAGGCCCTAGAACAATGGAGGCAGGTTGGACTCGCTGAGGAGAGCCGTGGCACCCTCAGCCAGAGTCCGGTTGGTGCGTTCGGCAACGTCATTCTGGTGGGGCTCGTTGCGGACGCTGTGCTCGCGTCGGATGCCTTCAGAGGTGCAGAGATCATCCCACTCCTTCGAGATGAACTCACCGCCCTTGTCGTCCCGCAGTGCGCTGATCTCGCATCCGGTGAGCCGCTCAGCAAAGGTCTTGAAGTGCAGGAAGGCATGGAACGCGTCGCTCTTGCGCCGGAGCAGCACCACCACCCAGAAGCGGTGGGCATTGTCAACGAAGATCACCCAGTATCGGTACCCTTCAGGTGTCTGGACAGGGATAGGGCCGTGGACGTCCATGTGAACGAGACCCAGGGCCTCTGACATGCACCGGGAGGCCCTCAGAGGCACAGAAGGCTGGTACAGCTTGCCCAAGATGCAAGGCTCGCAGACGGCATCTGGAGCGATGTCGGAGTCGAGCTTGAGGCCAGAGACACTATCCTCCTTCAGCATCCAGTGCACATATTCGACATTGACATGCCCAAAGCGCTGATGCCAGAGTTCGAGGTCCAAGGTGCATGTGCTGGCAGGCTGGGCGTGCTCCAGGGCCAGCAGGGTGCGCCCGTTGACGATGGCAGCATTGGAATCACTCACAGACGTGGTGAACAGCGTGGTAGTGCCTTGAACAAAGGCCATAAGTAACAGCGTAGGAGGCTGTCTGACGTGCTGTAGCGAGCTGGGAGCAAGGGAATGGAGCTGTGAGTTGAAGTCTATTGAGATACAACTAGGGACAGACCTGGGAGCAAGGGAATGGAGCTGTGAGTCAAAGTCTGAGGACTGGGCTCCATCCCTGCTCCCTAAATACATCTAGCTATGATGGAAGCTATGGTAACAAGTAACAAAGGGAGATATCGAAGCTATGGAGATAGGGATCAAGCATGTGGAGATAGACAGTTGGAATCAGTGATCTGAGCAACCAACTGACTGTTGGACCGGTTGCATCAGTTGTGTGGTCAACCAACTGATGCCAACTGATGTGAACAGATGGGAGGCATGTAGCCAGGAGACCAGCATCAAAGGATGATCAGAGCAGCCAGAAAAGCGGTGACCAAGGGGGATGATGGATGGTAACCACCTAGACTGATCCATCACCAACCTCAACACAGGTGACCTCCTGGGCGGCGGAGGAGCCAGGAGCGGCCTGAGCACGATAGGCGGCATTGTCGGTGGCTCCGGTGCTTGGCAGGTGGTAGTTATGTTCGTGGATGAAGGCTTGAACAACGTCGGAGCAGCTAGGGAGGAGGTGAACTTGGCGTATTCTGGGCCCAGGGAGTGGAGCATGGACATGGTGGCAAGGTTGTCGTCGAGGTCGGCGATGCTGTAGCGTTCTGGACGGAGGGCCTTGAGTCCTTGGTGCAGGGAGTCGACTCAAGCGATGAGGGAGGGGAGGGACTTGTCAGCACCCTTTCTAACGGTGAGGAGGGCGTCCAGGGCATTGAAATGCGCACCAGACACTTTCTGGAGGTGGACCTCAACCAGCTGCGACCACATCTTCACTGGATTCATCTCAATCCTCACCACATGCACCCTCTGACCTGGCTCCAGCACCCTGTAGATGACTCCTGCTGCCACCGCAGCCTTATCCATGCCATGGCCCCAGCGTCGTCTGAGGGCCTCGAATTCTCGCTAGAGATGATCACTCGGGACCATCCTGTGGAACATGTCCTGGCAACCATTTTGGTGAGTGAGTGAGGTGTACAATCTTTTGAAAGACATAGCGTGCATGGTAAACTTGATGGCGTGGAAGGAAAGTTAGTACCAGATAGTAACAGGATGAACAAGGCAGTTGACAATGACCTCTTAAAGATGGCTACAAAAGGCTGCAACTGTGGTGGCAAGGCCATCAAAGGAGGAGGTGAAGCAAACACTCAAGAGATGAAGTGCTTAGAGGGGCAAGGTCACTACCGTTGTGAAGAAGACTTGTATTATTATGCCAGCAAAAGGCATTGATCCCATAAGCTGAAAGCACTGTGCGCATCCTACTTTGGTTGCTTTGGAAAAGTTAGCGAGCGCAGAAAGTGTGGCTTGCACTCATAAGGAACAACTTTTGAACAGTCAGCACTTGGAGAATCAATCTCTTCAGGTAGCTGCTTTTTTATTTCTAGGTGTCTAGAAATGTGCTGGATAACAACCTTCTGGTCCTTGCGGGGCAGGTGTGTAGTTGCATATGGGAGTAAGTGGGGTCCCAGTGCTGCATGGCTTCCTTTTGAGAAATGATGTGTGTGTTTGTGGTGTGTTGGCAAGAGGTAAGCCCGTACATAGCAGATACCAAGATCTACAGTGTATCGACACTCCTTGATGCAGTCACGCTCCTTGATGCATTCAGAAATTGTGCACGATCGCTGTCACTGGCGCTCTCGAGAAAAAATCAGCGGGTAGCAATGTACATGTAGTATATAGATCTAAAATATCTAGTGGATTGGATGTGTGGACAATTTATGAAAAATCGAATACACCCTGAGAATCACTTTGGGTGTGGTTTCACTGGGTGCACGAGCCCTAGGGAATAGAAACCACATCCAATTACAGACTTAACTGTATGACTATCAAGCTGCATGTATTTAGCACAGATTCCATTGAAGCAACAAACATGTTTGAGCTGAGATTCATCCAGCACACCTGCAACAAACTGATGTGTTTGTTGTGGCTGACATGCGGGGAGGCCGCTCATGCCACATGTTGCACTGCACCTTCTCGACTTCGTCCCACCAGTGACACATCAGCAGCTCCTTCCTTACCTGTCCAAACGATGTCATGGCCCGTCATGCTCTCTCGGAACGCACAAAGAAGAGGAAACACAGTTTGGAGAAACAGGCACAGTATAGGAATGCTCTGCTTCGGTGGGAACATGAGCAGCTCCGCCCTCCTGGTGTGGAGTGGAAGAGTAAATGTGCCATTGCCGCTGAATGGCAGGTGGATAACACCACTCTGGGCCGGTATATCAAGGGTGGACAGTCTAGTGCTACGTTTAATGAGACAAAGCAGAAGTTGACACCGTCGGAAGAGCGTGTCATGGTGGATTTCTTGAAGGAGTCTGCCGACTGTGGCCTACCATAACTCTCCGTGAGATGATGCATGTTGCTGATGAGATCTGGAAGGCACGACTGGGGGAAGAGGCCAGGCTGGTTTCCCAGGCTTGGGTGGACCGGTTCATAGACAGTCACCGTGGCAAACTCCAGCAGCACTGGAGCAAGCCTCTGGACATGCAGCGGGCCCAGTCACTCAATCCTGCCGCCAAGCACCATTGGTTCTATGAGGTGCTGAAGCCATTAGTAGTCGATAAGAATGTACTTGCGGAGCTACAGTATGCCATGGATAAAACCGCTGTCATTGATGACGAGCAGGGAAGCCAATGTGTTATTGGTGCACGAGGGACAAAGACTCAACACCAGCAAGGCAGCGGGGACAGGGGACAGAACACAATGGCAGTCATAGGAATCTGTGCTGACGGTAGACACCTCCGCCCTACCCTAATCTACAAGGGCCAAAGGTTCAATAGCAAATGGATGAAGAATAATGTTGCAGATGCATCGTGAGTTCATAAAGCTTTATTCTGATAGGATACCAACACAGCTCATTAGGATCACCTGTTCCGGGAACGGGTGGACCCATAAGACTATCGGCCTCAAATGGATCCAGGATTTTGACATGCAAACTCGCGAGAAGGCAGCAGGGCGCACACAATATGTCTACCTTGATGGGCCTAGTTCCCATTATGCACTGCCCATCCTGCGGTATGCCAAGGAAAACAACATTGAGTTGCTTGGCTACCCTCCGCACTGCACGCATGCCCTCCAAGGCCTGGATGTTGTTTGTTTCGCAAAATTCAAGCTGGCTTGGCAAGGCGAACTCCACCACTATCACGAACAGCATCAGTGCAAAGTCAAAAAAGAAGACATTACAGAATTATTTGGAAATGCGTACCTTGCCGCATTCATGGAAACAACTATCAAGACTGTATTTGAGGCGACTGGAATATTCCCCTTCAATCCCGATGCCATAACTGCTGACCAGCTCAAGCTGAGTGAGGCCACGTCAATCAGAGCAGGCTCTCCACTGGTGTTACCTAGTCCAGCCCGAGCTGTAATCAACGCCTTCCAAGGGTGCCAACGCACTCGGCAAGACATTTCAGTAGATACTCATCATGTTCACGAAGCCGATGTGATCGACAATATCGATCCAATACTGCGGTTGACATCCAACTCGTTGGTGCACAGCTCAGCACCAGGGTGGCACATCCTGTTGGCAACACCAGCATCTCATTCTGGCGAACCACATACAGGAGATAAGAGGTCTCGTTTGTCTTCATTTGCCGACACGCCATCAAAGCGCATGCGTATCATGCACGCAAATATCGCATCGACCACCTTGGGTGCATTCCTGGTTGGCTGTGCACGCGTAACCTCTCGCAATATGCTTCCACCACCAACAATCCAGCACCGACCAATCGTGGCCGAGCCATGGTGGGAGCTCACTGATGGAGCATCGTCTTCGATTGACCAGACCGTCGGAGGTCTCATCTTGCACGTGGGCGAGCTACAGTTGGCACTCCTCCAAGCCAATGAGTATGTTCGAGTGTTAAACTTTGTATATCGTATATATATGGAAATATCACATGCTCGTTACCTATTATGTATAGATTCTCTCACGTGTTCTATCCTTGTGTTCTTCCTTGCGATCTTCTATCTTTCCTGATTGATATTACCGCTTTAGGCACATTCTTTTGTTCCCTTTATGGAAATGCTTCCCTCGAGCTCCCTCACATATACCAGGAGCTCTCCCTTCGCATCTCCTCAGTCTTTTCCCTTATACTTTGACTGAGGAGTGAGTCTGCCATGTCCCTTCATGTCCCTTATGTCCTAATGTACTTATGATGCCTCTGTAGTCATATATTAGGTACTACATGCATAACTCAGTCTTTTCCCTCATACTTTGACTGAGGATCATATATTAGGGAATTATCGCTCTTGCCTTCAGATCCAGAAGTTCATCATCGAGCCCTTCATGCGATGCTTGAGGGGGGGAATGCTCAGTTGGTGGTGAGTAGCATGCACACTATGAAACTTAATCAGTCTCTGCAATCCAAGGAAGATGCGAAGAATACAGAGCGGAGGAACAAGTACATGGTGGGTGGGATGGCTAGACATTTCACCCATAAAGGCTTCATTGCAGAGGAGGAAAGGCTGGAGGCGATTGCAAAGGAGAAAGAAGCCCAGAAAGAACAGAGAGAAACGGCAAGAAAGCAAAAAAGACATGTGAAGGAGGCTTTTGAGGAGTGGTGGAGAATGGCAAAGGAGGAATACTCGAAGGACAGGAGTGAATATGAGGAGATGAAGAAGAGATTGATCAGCGAGGGGGTCAAGTGTAAAGACTTACCGAAGGCACCCCAGAAACCAAAGAAGGCAGACTATCCCAAGGAAACAGAGGATCTCGATGACTCTGAGAGCGACGATTCAACCAGCTCCAAGGTGTATTAGGTGGGTAAGCATTCCCCGATGTATTGCGATAGGTTGGCTCAGCATGTTGATTGTCGAAAGGGCGCGAAACGTTCAACTGACAGTGCGTGTGAGCGCAATACTGGGCAAGTCATGTGACTGCATCAACAAATAAAATCTGCACCATTTGGTGCTCAGGATGCTGTAGCTCCTCATTCTCGCACAACACATTTCTGAGCTTCGAAGAAATTCATCAGGTATACTAGAGCATTATATTAGAGATGTATATAGTTTTTAATGTATATAATGTTGCGTAGCGGCGGCAGAAAGCCATGCACTCCTGAGTGCATCAAGGAACATCGTTATACTGTACATC